ACATGTGGCTTGAGTTCTGACAAATTCTGTCACATGTTCTGTCGGGTTTCAGCGCCCAGATCCCCAGGGCAGTTTTGAGATCAGATGCTTCCTCTGCAGGCAGTGAGTCTGAATCTCAGGACCCCCAAGTGGACTTGCAGTCAAGAAGCATGAGAGTGCTAGTGTTTAAAATGTCCCCCAGGCTCATATGCATGAACATATGGTTCCTAGCAGGTGGTGCTGAGGGTTTGGACCCGTCAGTGTCCATCAGGTGGTGTTAAAGGTGTGGACCCCACAGTTCCCAGCAGGTGGTGCTGAGAGTGTGGACCCACAGGTCACAGCAGGTGGTGCTGAGGGTATGGACCCCACAGTTTCCATTAGGTGGGGCTGAGGGTGTGGACCCCACAGTTTCCATCAGGTGGTGCTGATGGTATGGACACCACAGTTTCCATCAGGTGGGGCTGAGGGTGTGGACCCACAGTTCCCAGCAAGTGGCACTGAGGGTGTGGACCCACAGCTCACAGCAGGTAGGTCTAGGATGGATGGAATCTTTAGGTGCACAGCAGTTGGGCCCTACTTCGAATCTGTCTTTGCTTCTTATCTACCTCCATGGGGTAGCCTCACCTCATGTTTCTGCTGTTGTGCCTCTGCTATCTTAACAGACCAGCATTTCCTGAAATGGCAAAACCCAATAAACCTTTTGTTTCTTAAGGTGACTTTGTGTTAGCTATAAGAAAAGTAATATGCAGGCACATTGATTCACCTTCCTCTTTAGAGAGAAGCAGAGACAAAGAAAGAAACAGACAGACACCAATGCTTTGGAGAATTTTTTTTTAAAGAAGGAAATTGAAGGATACAAGTCTTCTGCCTGTTTCCCAGTCTCTAGTCCTGAGGGATGTCCCTGCTCAGTCGTACTCAGGCATACTGCACATACTGTCAAACCACGTATAGAGGTGGGAATACTCGTGGAGAACACAGCAGTCATAGAACCAAAGTAGTCAGGGAGTTATAATAATGCTTGGAAACTAAGAAAGAGAACTTGTGAATTAAAAATATCAAGAAAAATGGCTTTGGAGCCATGGCACAGTGGTTAAGAGCATTTGCTGCTCTTGCAGTGGGCCCAGGCTCAGTTTCCAGACCCACATAACAGCTCACAAGCCTCTGTAGCTCTAGTTCCAGGGTTCAGGCCCCCTCTCCTGGCCTCTGCGAATATTACACACATAAAAGCAGAATGCTCACACACTTAAGATAAAAATCTATCTTGTTTTAAAAGAAAGAATGAGGGCTGAAGAGATGGCTTAGAGGTCAAGAGCACTTGCTGCTCTTCCAGGGGTCCTCAGTTAATACCCAGCAACCACGTGGCGACTCACAACCATCTGTAATGAGATCTGGTGCCATCTTCTTGTTGCAGGCATCTGTGCAGACAGAACACTGTACACACAGTAAGTAAATCTTTTAAAAAAATAAATAAATGAAAGAATACAAAAAGAAAAGGACTGCAGATGTGGCTCAGTTGGCAGAGTGCTGGCTTGTTTAGCATTTGTGAAGCCCTGGATTCAGTCGCCAGCACCAGAGAAACCAGGGGGTGACAGAATTCTGAAGTTCAAGTTCACACTTGGCACATATTAAACTTGAGGCCAGTCTGGGCTACATGAGACCTTGTCTCCAAAAGAGAACAAAGAATAACTGTAATAGAGTGGATGGAAGAGGAATATGCAGAGGTTCCTGGAAGCCAGAACACGGTGGACCAGGAGGTGAACAATGCGAACAAAGTTATGAAAACAGGAATAATGTCTAAGAAAGCGAGGACCACGCAGCTAATGATGCGGTGCAGACAGTAGAGGAGGGAAGAAT